TCAAGAGAACACGGATACAGCCTCAGCTGATACTTACCCTATCGAACCATCTCAAGAGGTTTGGGACGCCAAAACTCAAGGTTCTGAAGGGATTGGTAATAATGAGATCTCAATCAATTATATCATATCCGGTTCTCTATGGAACAGAAAAGATGTCGACAACAATGAAACTTTTGCATACAAGGTAGCACTTGAGATTGCGCACACACAAGAGGATCTAGAACCCACGTCTATAATTGAGTGCACTCGTAGATCAGATTGGCTGAAATGGAAAGAAGCCATAAACGTGGAGTTGAATAGTTTAAAGAAACGGAATGTGTTTGTTCCGATCTTAAGGACACCATTCGATGTTAAACCAGTGGGAAACAAATGGGTCTTTGTGCGTAAAAGAAACGAACTCGGCGAAGTCGTTAGATACAAGGCACGCCTTGTAGCACAAGGATTCTCACAGAGACCCGGAATCGATTATGAGGAGACTTATTCTCCAGTGGTGGATGCAACTACATTTCGATTCCTCATAAGTCTGGCCATAAGAGAAAACTTAGATTTGCGGTTAATGGATGTTGTAACCGCATATCTTTATGGACCACTGGACAGTGAAATCTATATGAGATTACCAGATGGTATTGAGCTCAAAGATAAGCATGCATCTCGTGATAAACACTGCATTAGGCTGAACAAATCCTTATATGGACTGAAACAAAGCGGACGTATGTGGTATAACCGGTTAAGCGAATATCTCATCAGAGAAGGCTACGAAAACGATCCGATCAGTCCATGCATCTTCATCAGAAAATATCAAAACAAAGGATTTGTAATCATAGCAGTATACGTGGATGACTTGAACATCCTCGGAACATCTGGTGAAATCGCCCAAACAGTTGAATGCTTAAAAGCAGAGTTTGAAATGAAAGACCTAGGCAAAACTAAATTCTGTTTGGGATTACAACTTGAGTACGTCAATAACGGAATCCTTGTGCATCAATTGGCATACACTGAAAAGGTACTCAAGAGATTCAATATGGACCAGGCCCACCCATTGACCAGCCCAATGGTTGTGAGGAGCCTTGGATTGGATAGTGATCCCTTCGGTCCAAAGAAGGACGATGAAGAAATCCTCGGTCCTGAAATGCCATACCTCAGTGCCATAGGAGCATTAATGTACTTGGCTAGTCACACTAGACCAGACATCTGCTTTGCCGTGAGCCTCTTAGCTCGCTTTAGTTCGTGTCCAACTCAAAGGCACTGGAATGGTATTAAGCACATCCTTAGATACCTTCAAGGTACTAAGGATTTGGGATTATTTTATTCTAACCATAACAAAGATGGTCTAGTTGGTTTTGCTGATGCAGGATATTTGTCAGATCCGCACTGTGCCCGGTCTCAAACCGGTTATGTTTTCACGCATGGAGGAACAGCCATATCTTGGAGATCCATGAAGCAGACTATTGCCGCTACCTCATCCAACCATGCGGAAATCTTGGCCATTCACGAAGCTAGTAGAGAGTGTGTTTGGTTGCGGTCCATGACTCAGCATATCCGATCAGATTGTGGTATGGACGAAGATAAGGAGCCTACGGTGATGTATGAAGACAATGCAGCTTGTATCGCTCAACTCAAGGACGGCTACATCAAAGGTGACCGGACGAAGCATATTCTGCCCAAATTCTTCTTCACTCATGAGCTACAGAAGGATGGTCAGGTCAAGGTTCAGCAAGTCCGATCAAGCGAAAATTCAGCCGATCTATTCACTAAATCATTACCGACTTCTACACTCCGGAAGCTCATTCATCAGATAGGAATGCGTAGACTTAGAGATCTACAGTGATGCCTAAACCAGGGGGAGTAATGCGTGTTGTACTCTTTTTCCTTCACTATGGTTTTTCCCACTGGGTTTTCCTGGTAAGGTTTTAATGAGGCAACGTTCCCCAGTGCATTATAGAGATCCCGGTTTTGTGACAGGCACGGTTACCTTGTCCAAGGGAGAGTGTTATAAACAAATGGACTTCTAGTAACCGGCCCATTAACCATCAGGTTAATGTCTCATGGCCCATTAGGGTTTCTGATACATTAGTTATGTAATGTATATATACACTGCTTATGGAAACAATAAGATAAGAGTTTTTCCCTTAATAATATCCTTGTTTTAGGAAACAACAACAACAAATAAAACATATGCCTATTCCTATACTTTGATTTTTCAAAGTTGGATGTAAAATAACGTTTTTTAAGATTCTACTTTATCAAGTTAGATGTAAAAATACATATAATGTTATTACTAAGAGGTTTAAGCTAATCAAGTGCTTGCATTATATCCTCTTATCTGTCTGCGTATCATCCTTGAGTGGATTATTCATTATTTTTACATATGTAATGAGTTGATGTGGTTACTGATTGGTTAAGGTTTTAAAGATATTAATCTCCTATCTCCCTTAATCCGCTAATTTAGATGGTAGTCTAGGTCTCTCCGTGGCTCTTATGTATGAGAGAAGCTTGAGTGAAGAATCCCTTTAGACAGGACCGTGCCATGTAGTAGATTTTGAAGGGCCAAATTTTTTAATATTTTAAAAGGCTTATTTATTTGATATAATATATTATAATTTGAATGATATATATACTTTTAAAGCTTAAAACTAGATTTTACCCCATGCATCCGCACGGGAATTTTTTTTAATCAAAATTTATGATATTATTTATGTTTTCTTTATATATATAATTTTTTCATAAATAACAAAGATTTATTTTTGTGTTTAGATATAATTTATTTTTTAATTTTTTCTACTATATTATGACCATGATCATAAAAACATAATTATAACCCAATCATTCTATTAATCGAAAAAAGACAGTTATTATAAAAATATATTTTTAACTCACTCATTCTATTAATCCGAAAAAACTGTAGTTACTAAACCATAATTCTATTTCTAACCCATCCGTCATATTACTATATAATATAATTATTTACTAATTTTGAAATAATATTTATCTTAATATCTTGCATGTTTTGAATATAACACTGCAATTATAAAAAAAACTTAATCCACTCCATCAAATTACCATATAATATTAATATTTATTAGTTTTCAATATGTGAAATTTAACTCTGATTGAATATGATTAATAAATACAATAAGGCATTCTCTTAATCATATTTGTTTTTCTAAAAATATTATTTAAATTTTCAAATGTTAAATTAAATCTGACCTATAATTAAAGAAGTATAAAATAATTTAAATTAATATCATTTTTTAGCATTAAATTTAATTACAAAAATAGTTTAAATTTTAAATTAAATATGACCTATATTTAAGGAAATCTTTAGTTATCTAAATTCATATCTAATATTTGGATTTTTTTTATATAAAAAGAAAATATGTTTTAAATAATATTACATTAATTTAGGATAATTTTAAAACTGTTTCTCAAAATATTTTTAAAAACATTTTGGGAGTGTTTCGAAGCAAGTATTAAATTTTACTCTGATTGAATATGATTAAAAAATACAATAAGGTATTCTTTTAATCATATTTGTTTTTCTAAAAATATTATTTAAATTTTCAAATGTTAAATTAAATCTGACCTATAATTAAAGAAGTATAAAATAATTTAAATTAATATCATTTTTTAGAATTAAATTTAATTACAAAAATAGTTTGAATTTTAAATTAAATATGACCTATATTTAAGGAAATCTTTAGTTATCTAAATTCATATCTAATTTTTGGATTTGTTTTATATAAAAAGAAAATATGTTTTTAAATAATATTACAATAATTTAGGATAATTTTAAAACTGTTTCTCAACATATTTTTAAAAAAATTTTGGGAGTGTTTCGAAGCAAGTACTAAATGTGCTTCTGTTTTAATATAATAGATATATATTTTTATATTCTAACATAGTTTCTACGATTTTATCATATAACAAATAGTTAAAAAAAAAATTCAAATATCAAAATAAAATTAAAATATTAAAACAAAATTAGTATAAAATGTTAAATCTCTATCAAATGGTATTTGTAAAAAAATTTCTTTTAATTTATTTTTGTTTTTTTTTTGGAAAGATTGTTTAGGACCTCAATTAATGTAGACACGGTTCTGTTCTTGGGCTGGATATTTTATAATACCTATAGAAAGATTTATAATGAAACTTTTAACTTATATAAAATTCTCCATATCCAACTCCCAGTTTTTGAAGATTCAAATCCCAGAAGTTAAATCCTCACTCAATAAACCCATAGTGACTCTTTATTCATCATAACAAATACTTACATGAATTTTAAGTAAATACCGAAAGATACGAAAATTTTAGAAAATGAACTCGTCCTACAATATATTCTGCTTTTCTGGTTCATCCACCGAACGCACATTAATGTTCCGAACTAATGACTCATTTCTTACTATTCTATCATGCTAGTTATTAGCATCAGCTCACAATGTAATTATCATCAAAGCATAACAACGTTAGTTGCTTCTAGATTTAAATGCTTTAAGTAGAGATTATTAATCAACTACATTGAGTATTTTGCTTTGGTCAGTTTGCGGTAGGGACAAATAGAAGAAATGCGAATAGTCTCAATTTAGAAGATAATTTAAACAAAAACTTTATCCTAAACCATACAGTTATATGGTCAAAAGGAAAAAAAAAAGTGAGAACAACAAATGCAGTCAGCTATTCGGCGCATGATCCAAAGTCCAAACCCAAGGCCGCTCTGCTAATCTCTCAAACATGGCTCTGTTTTTTAAAGCTTTTTGCTGGTTTTTGCTGTTTCCCTCTAGCTCGGGTTTTTTTGCTGTCTAATTTGACTCAGTTTTTATCAGGTTTTTCCACTGTAAATATTTTTTTTTTGTTGATCAATAATATCACATTTCAACAAAAAAAAGGTGGCTCATTACCTTGCGGCTCAATGGGTTGAAAAAACCTAGTTATGTACAAGGAAAGGGACAAGCTTCACTCAAAAAAAAAAAAAAAATGAAAAAACAAATATCAAGAAGCTCTTGCTTTCTAACATTATCCATTCAATTGACTTTAATTAGAATAATCCCAAGTGCTTACATTTTTGTGCAGAACCTCCCTAGATTTTTAAATCAAGAGATGAAAGGGCAAATGGTCAAGTCCCCTATCCCTACCTGACCAAGAGCACACAAAGCACAGCCAAGATTCGATATTTTTCCCCTCTTTCTGTTAGTCCCAAGAAAGACATTCACAGATGAATGTTGCACTAATAACATTGAATCCAAACCAAACTGCATTAAACTAGTTGGGGAATCTTGTGCCTCTTCTTCCCCATGGGACCATTGGACGCTGCTGGTGCTGCAATCCAACACCATTGTTGCCTACATTGCTTCCCTTTTCTGCAAACTTTCTCATTCTCATTCTCTCTTCCTTCATGTTTGCAAACCGAGAATCCAGCGTCTGTGGCCATTGCCTCTGTCCTCCTCCACCACTCGCTTGCCTCTGCTCTATCTTCTCCCTTTGCTGCTGCTTCTGCATCGTAATAACCCCATCAATCAATCACTTTCAAACACTCTTTGATTATAGATATGCCAAGAAGTTACAATTTTTTTAATCATACTGATCGGATCTAAGCTACAATTGGACTTGCATCACTCAAAATTTCATCCCACTAGCATTGTTTCTTTCTAAATTACAGTCTCTTCAAGTTCGACAGTATCCACGCTTACTTAACCAAAACCAATCTAAAAACCCCCCTCGGATTCTGCATCATCTAAAGCAGTTTATGGATGCAGCAAAGGCACAAAACCGCATCATGAAGGTTCAAGAAGCAGATCTAATGGAACCTAACACATGGATGTGAATAATTTACCTTCGCAACAAACCCTCTGTGTGCAGATCTATACTGAGCTGGTGGAGTAATAAACCTGCAAAAATGAAAAGGGTTTCATAAACGGATAAAGAAAGAGCCTTTCACTATTAGCGGATCGTAGAGCCCACAGTGCACATAAAGCATGTAGCTGGCTCATGCAGGAATGGATGGATGAATACTAAAGGCACTAATTTCAAACCGCACGAAATTGTGAATTGTCAAGAGTGTCTCTGGTCCCGACCGGGGCATCTTAATCCTCGTGCTGTCCTAGTAATCACGCATCAATCATTTCAATGTCACGACAATAGACCAAATAGACCAAGCTATACTCTACAGGAAGCAGCAAGAAGACATAACTCAACTTTTAGAAGGCTGATATGAATGCTTCGTGAATTCCTTGCGATAACATCAAAGGCCATGTAATACTGCACCAACTTGCTAAATCTAACAATTAAACCCAAAACCAGAAAAGTCTCTACTCTACCCTAATGAGCTTGAACTTCTTCCTTTACCTTAAATACCAAAAATCTGCCAGCCTATGAATGTTTAGTTACTACTCTAAATATCTCCCTTAAACTCAACTACATGATTTTGAATCACTATTTTGAACCAGGGTTATAGAGTCATCAATCTGATGACAACACATCATCCAGGAGGGGAATAAAGAAACACAAATATACAAACCCGTGTTGCTTTCAAAAGATACACTCAATGGTAAGGAGCTTAGAAGCTTCTCGCATTAGAAAAAGTTGAAGATCATAGAAGGAGCCCATGATAATAAACAGCTCAGAGAATTATCAAGCAATCTAGACCTTGATTGATTCGTATTAGTCATCCTTCCAGCATTATAAGGTCTACCACGGAACGGAGTAGCAGAAGCCGCTTCACGAGCAATCTTTGTTGTTACAGGAAATTGGTTTCCTTGGAAATTAGACCTTCTCTTAGCAAAAGCACCCTGAAATTATGATACAAATCAGAACAAAACCACAAAGGGAGAAATATCTAAGCCAAGACAGCAAATCGACGAAGAACACAACAATACTAACCTGTCTAACATCAGACCGCGAGTCCATATAACGCTGTGCTTTTACCGCACTATTTTTCGCAATACCATTAAAATTCTCCTTTTTATTCTGCTTAAACAATAATCGCATGCCAATGTTCAGTAAAGAAACACCAAATTTCTTTCAATAAACAGTAAAATATATAACCTTTGAGAAACATAAGATACTCACCGATGTTCTCTGTTTCTTGCCTTTATTCACAATGGTATTGCTCTTTGACATCTTGATAATAGCATCTATGCGCACAAGAAATATGAATTGATCATGAACAATAAATAAGGATACATCTTCGTATGAGTTAAAAACAAAAATAAAACATAAACCCACCTAAAGACATGTCCATTTTCTTCTCCGTGAGAGCAACGGACTCTGTAGTAATAGGTTTTTCAGTCGCCATCTGCACAATCAAACCATTAATAAGTGAACACAAATTAAACCAAAAATCCATGTCAAAAATAGGACAAGGCATACAAAAAAAATAAAATGATCCAGCAAACTACGATACAAATGAAACAGAATTAGAAAAAAGAAACAGCTATTCACATAAACCCTAATGCAGTCTCCCATCTGAAGTAACATAACACAACCACTACACTAAAAATCAAAAGTTATTGAATTTATGAGAAGCAAGGAGATACAGAAGAGATAAAAAACCCTAGTTTTCCGATCAATTTGAAAGAAAAAAAAAAAGAGAGGGTAAAACACAAATTGAATAATTGACGGAATAAATCAAATAGAATCTAAAGTAATCCCACTAGTGAAGAATGGAGGAGATGCTAAAGAGTTGAAATCGTTACCAGTTTAGGAATTTGACTGTCTCAGAGTCTCAGTGAGACAAAAGGAAAGGCTTTTTGTTCCGACGAGGAGTGAAACCAGAGACAGCTGAGTCAACTCGTAAGAACTTAACTTACTATCGAATTCAAATGGTCGGCGGATCCCAAGCCGACAATTATTAGCTTACCGAAAGGTTTTGTCTATAGACGTGGCACATTCTCAGTGGACGGAAGATCGATAGCAGATGATTTTTTTTAAGGCCTTGATTGTTTGCAGTTTTCCAAATAGATTTGGTTTTTGTTTTTTAAAATATTATTTTATTAGCTATTCAAATTTTAGATTTCCAAAAATTTTAAGAAAATTAATTTTTTAGAGTTTTTCTTCTAAACAAAAACTAAGAGGGTGTTATTCAATCATGATTTTTAATAGAGTTTAAATCTATCTATAATCCATTATTATTCAATAATTGATTTTGATTTCTCCTTCAAAATCCAATGTTATTGGTTCATGTATTTACAATTTCTTCATTAATAGAGTTTGAAATCCATTGTTATTCAATTAAAGAGTTGAATAAGTCAATTAAAATCTTATGTTATTCATGTTTAACAGATTCTTACTGAAAGATGTTAACTGAATTTGAACCTATTTTTATTTGTTAAATATAGCAATCAAAATCTAACCTTTTACCCTCAGATTTTGATAATTATAAAATTCAATACAAATAATTATTAACATTTGTTTTTTTATTTCTTCCCTCCATGTATTAATCCATCGAATACATCATTCTTCATCCCTCCAATTTTTTTTCTTTTCCCTCCATTTTGTTTTTTCATTTCTTCATACGTCTTCTTTTTTCCCTACTCCATTTCTCTCTCTATTCTCTCTGTTCCATAAGTCAACGAAGCCATTTATTATGAAAACCTCAGTTTCTCACTATTCTCTCTTTTTCTTTAGCACACATTTCTCTCTCTTTCTCTCTTTTCATTAAGTCATCAAAGAAAAAAAAAATATCTTTCTGGATTACCAAATGTTCCGGAGTTTTGGTTTGGAGAATTTTCTTTGCCATGTTTATAGAGACTAGCGAGAATTTTTTACCTCCGACAAAATTTTTTG